TAAGAACAACTTATGCCATAATAGGTTAATTTGTCCCAACGTTTCCAATTCACAAACAGTTTCAAATGCAAATTATTTTAGCGATCAAAATTTTTCTGATACTTTCGATACTGAGGCCATTTCAATTGAAAATACAAAACTCAAGGTATTTATAATATTTACTAATTACACAAAGCTTATAATTAATTACCCATTTCAGCCAATAATTATTACTGTAACGATGTTTGTGAAAAGATAGTATAATGGATTTGAAAGGAAGGAAGTGAGAGAATAAAACTAAATTAATGGGCAAAAAAACTGGGAGATACAGTTTTTCAATAGAAACAAATCCAGAAAGGATTCTTTCAGTTAAAGAAATTTCTTTCACTTATGTGAATAAAGTAAAGGAAAATTACAGTAGGACCACCACTAGCTTATATGCTGATCCTTTTATGTATCACATTATCTCCACGACCACAATCAGGGAGTCGTGAGAAATCAGCAGATTCTATTATTTTATAGCGTTCAGTTATACTAAAGCCTCATAATCTTCTCCGCTTGTTCCAACCAGTGTCTGCGAGTAATGGCATTCATACGGCATGCCCAAGTCGATGTTTCACGATTATGACACCAAGTGAATTATCGCCATTCAAGTATCATCTCACGGATTTTCAGAAGTCGATTGCCGTTATCGGACCTAGACCAAAAAGTCCCTGATGGTTACCCAGTGTCTATACACTCAACCTGATCATTCGAGTCTTATGGCTGGCTATATAATATATGATGGCCGCGCTCTACTAAGAAAAATCATGTAATCTGCAATAGGATCCCCATGTGTCTCACTCGGGTTGCAGTCCGTCAGAGCATAGGCAAATATTCCTAAGAGACTTTACTAAATAACTATCTCACAGATAAAACTTTTTAACTTAATGTCAGGCGTCTGGGCAGTATCCCAGTCCAAATACCAAGTAAGTGATGACTATAGCCAGAAAAATTGTTTTAACTTAAATCTTCAAAAAATACTCACAACTATTCATTAAAATTCATTTTCACTACGTCGTTTGTTCCCACTTTGTGTATTCCTTATTGTTTAACTCATGTAGCTGCTACCTTATGGTGGAAATTCCTTCCTATATAAACCATCTCAAGTCATTGACTGGTTGGAAGTTTCGAGCTACCTCCGAAAATGAATTCTGAGTAAGCCTTCTGCAACCAAGTATGCCGTTCAAGCGGGCGTCCTTCAACATTCCCGTACTAGTGCAGATCGATAAACAAATAGGGTTGGTTATATGAACATTGATGTCTGTCGTTTATCCCAGACCCATTTCCAAGACAATTGACGTACCGAAAATTGCCCTCCATCTGTTGCTTCAAAACGTCTTTTTCGCGTGCTTTCATCCGAGCAGTCTGTTGAATTTCCGTCAGATCTTGCTGGCGTTGGTGTCTCACTAATCGCTAGGACTATGTCAGTGCTAATCAATTGGACTCCTATTAACAGTCGATTATGTGCTATTAGATTTAAAAGCTCTGTCAAATTGAGAAGTTGGTGTGCAAACTATACCTTTTTTGTTGTCCCTCCGCCGTCGCAGGTTGCAGCCCGAATTCAATCAAGGATGAGTTCCACCACCAGTTAAGGGGTCTAAAAATGAGGGATCGACAGGTATTGTAGTGCGACCCGGATATTCTGATGCGCAAGTCAAGCGTCTAGGTGCAGATAGTCGTTTGAATGGCCGGTGGGGACTCGTTCACCATAGGTCAGATAATGGCGACGGTCTCCTTCAGCTTTACTCTGATTACCACCTTTTTTGGCTAGCACCAATAATCGACACAGTCAGCGCTTTCTCCTTTCATCTCAAGCCTGTACTCAGATTAGTCACATCGCGGTTAGCTGCCAATGCAGTGAACTTGTACAAAACTGCCACTCCAGAGCGTGCTAACGATTTGGAGGCGGCAGCTACATATGGTAACTGCCTCAAGCTCTTTCAACTTATCCAAGCCACTGGCAGCAAGATGTGTGATATGAGTGAAACAATCTATGAAGCTGATGATACGCCAAACAATGACATCTGTTTTTTTAGACGATGGACAGCTTATTTTATCGATTAGTCTGTCGTGTTCTCCATCATTGGTAGTGACTGGTCGAAATAACGAGCCGCACGTCCTCTGGAGACTTCAACTTTTGGGGTGTCACAAATTGCCAGCTCCAGATGACTTACTGTCAGCCGCTTTTAAAATGTTGGTGTTTACAACCGCTCGCACTTGAAGAGTGGTCCAACTTCGTGTAGACAAACGGTAGTTGCCTCTTTCTGTGAAAAGGGCCCGTATCACCTATGTAACATTAATCGGAGATAAGTCTACTTCCTACTGCGTCCAAACTATTGGCTTCTGTTATACTTCGTAGATTGTTCAAAACCGGTGAAGCAGGCTAGTTTTCGTTCTGGTGAAGGATGTATTGATCGTATCTCCACTAATAATACAATTAGTGTCTTGATGTTGAAACACCGACTTTAGTGGCTTCATTATGTACAGTAGATGTCTTCCCACTGAATTTTACATCGTACATAATTTTCCCACACTGCGATGGTCAGTTTCTGACATGGTATGAAAGTAAGATGTGCAGGACTCACATCTGTTGGGCCTTCAAGACTTCCTGGTTGTGGTCCAACTCTGTTACTTGAGTCGATCTGAGAGATGGTGTATTGTAAAATCCAGTGACTCTCTTGTCACATCTTTCTCTTAATTTCTTCATACAAATGGGAGAAACTGTTTTTAACCGTAAAAAAGCTAACGTTTACCAGACCAAAATATGGCAAAATCCATCAAGTCACTATTAATTGGACTGAGCTATGTCAGTCAGATGCAATGTAGAACTTCGTACGCAAGTACATCAGTTCATGTCGCCATACCACATCAGCACAGAGATATAATTGTCAATTCAAATCCAATAGTAGAAGAGGTAGTAAACGTATTAGGAGTAATCGGAGAGGTTAGGATTAGAAGATATTATTCAAGAAGTATGATTCAGTGAGAAAAGTTTAGAAAGTCTAAACTAGAGGTGTTGAAGAATCCAGAAGATTAGGGTTTGAGAGAACACAAAGAATAAATGCACGGGCGCCATTGCGAACGATTTTGAGCCATGTCATTCAAGGTCTCTAACCATCGGTGACTATCGTCTCGCGGACCCAAACCAGGAAGTCGACAACTACTAACATGGCTAAGTCCACTTGTAAATGACTTCATGGATTTGTGCCATGTTTTGGTCTGGCCGCCCCTAACTTTCTTCCAATCTACTCCTACACTACAAAACAAAGTTCGTCGAGGCAGTCGGTTAGCCATACGTAACATATGTCCCACTCACCTCGACTGATGAAGTTTCATTACTTCATCTATTGATCTTCCGTCCCTACCTAGTACTAGTTTCCTAACGACAGCAATGCTTACTCGGTCGTCCCAGGATGTACGAGCAATGCTTCGAAGACACTTCTGATCGAATACTAGTAACCTACGAATATCTTCTACTCTGATTGTCCATTTTTCACAGCCATAAAGTAAGACGGAGCGAACCACTGCACAGTACACTGTCGTTTAGTCAGCGAACGAATATCTCGCCTACGCCATAAGTGACACAGGTTGACGAAAGCTAATCGAGCCTCCTGTATCCGAGCTGAGATTTCGTCAGTCACCAGCGGTCTACACATTCAACTACTTCACTGCCTATCACTAGTTTATGTGCCGATGCAACCCAATCTTGAAGCAACATTTTGTATTTCTACGAGGAAATCCGCACCCCGAACATGCTTGCACTGTTGCTTAGGGTGGTCAGAAGACTCTGCATTTTGTCAGCGTCTTCACCTAGTAGGACAATGTCATCGGCATATTCTAAGTCATTAAGCGAGCCACCTGGTAGAAGGTGTACTGCAAATTCAGACGAAGATAAGGTTATTTCTAAGAGCATGACTATGATAAAATTAAACAAGAATGGAGAGAGTGGACATCCCTGACGGACACCACTTGATGTAGAGAATTCCGGTGACAGTTCGCCATAAGCTCTCACTCGACCAGTGGTGTTCGAGTAGAGAGAGTGCTTGTATAAGGCTAATGTACTTCTTTGGTACACCTTTCAATGACAGACACTGCCACAGAACCTCACGATCCACTGAGTCGAATGCCGCTTTTAGGTCCAGGAACACGACTATTGTCGGACGTCTAAATGTGTGTCTGTGTCCCAGGACCTGTCGTAGTGTGAAGACGTGGTCTATACAGCCACGTTCAGGTCGAAAACCAGCCTGGTTTTCTCGAGTCTGCTCTTCACGAGCTTTCGTTAAGCGTCGAAGTATTACTGAGGCTAACAATTTAGAAACTTTATAAGTTAGACTTATTCCCCTGTGATTGTCACAACAGGACTTTTGTCCTTTCTTGTAGATTGGGACAATTAGCGACTGAGACCAGTCAGATGGGATAACGTCAAGTTCCCAGATTCTACCTAGGATCTCGGTCAGTCTAACTGTTAAAACTGGACCACCATCCTTAAACACCTCAGGGGTAGGCCTATCAGGACCTGTTGCTCTACTTCCCTTTAGTTTTCTCAACTTCATGTAGACTGGGAGGACTTAAAGCGATTTGCCATTCAGGATGGCTGGAGATCGTGGGTAACCGAAGTGTGACTCGAGGCCAGTTGAACTGATCCCTAAAGTGTTCTGCCTATCGGGCTGAGCTATGTAAATCATATCGTCCATCCTTAATCTTTTCAAATACTGTTACTACCTCTTCCACTACGGGATTTGAACTGACATTTCTCTCTCTTTGCTGTTGTACAGCAACTTGGATGATGTGCTTACATACCAAGTTCTACATTGTAGCTAACCGACTTCGGTTGACGTCGCGCTCCCTCCACTTTCAGCATCACGAGAACATTCAGAATCGGTTATACATAAAGTGCATTTGATCCGTAGTTTATAGTACACGTGTTTCTGTTTAATTTAGAGACCTTAAATGATAGTGCCATTTTCTTTGATTTACAGATAACTGGTGTGAGCTTTGTCGCCTTTTCTGGTCATGCCACATATTGCAATGCAATAATCGTCGAGGATGGGATATATGTTTCTTTAACAAATTTAAAATTTTATCAGCTAGTCAACAGTTTAAAGACTGGTTCTGATCTATCCATTCCTATACTACCTAGTTTTAACAGCCAACCGTCTACCCTAGTAGAACACATCGATGATGATTTAGGAGATTATATCGGGAATCCAGGAATATTTAATAGAAACGTTGCCTCATCTGTGCACATAAAGTGGTTTAAAGTTTTTGATTCATTTTTATCAAGTGCTTCATTTAGCAATACTGATGCTTTTTCGTGTTGCGTAAGTTTTCATCTTCATTCTTCATGTTGTTTACAAAATTTTTCGCTATCTCGCTCTTACTTTTTTACTGTGTGTAGATTTTCACCACTTTCATATACCTACTTTAAGCAGCACAAAACATTATATTGGTTATAAAGTGATGTATATCTTCATGGTCATAATTGACATTCAATCGTTACTTCTTGTATATTTAGAATTCGAAACAGGATTTTATTTTTTTTTTATCGACAATTCATGATTATTCTGCTTAACAGTGACTACAGGCACTTGATAATTCTCTTGTATTGCTTTAGTTATCCTTATCATAAGTATATACCTATATACAATAACTCCTGTGACAGTTCCTTTAAGTTTGAATGCTATTTTCATAACACTGCGAGGATTAGCGGTGGTTACGTCTGTCTTATTTTACTAACAAAGTTATCTGTCCTTAGAATGTGCTTTTTCTTTTTGGTAGTTGAACATAAAATCACTCTTCAAGAATGTACCCAGTGGGTGTTCTCAATTCTTTTCGGGTTGTCTTTTTAGCTTATTGATATAATTGTTTTGTAGGAATTGCTTACTATAACTTGCATCTCGTCTGCAATTTTTGGTCAATAAACCCGTTTCTTGTAGTGGCAACGGGGCAGAGGTAAAAATATATCATTCCAGTTTTATGTGCACATACCGATCCATATCTGCTACCGTAACACATTAATCCGGCTTAAATATCATGACGGCTCACTCAAGTTATATTGGCCGCAGCACTTTCTTTTTGAAGTTTTATCGCTGCTAGCGGGATGGTTGGGAAGCGTTTGAACCCAAAATAGCAAATTATAACTTAACTAAGACAAAGCGATTTGCAGAACTTAGATAAATTATTTGGAATATACACCAAAGGATTACATAAACTCACTGAAAGGTCTTCCACAGAATAATATTTTCTGTTTCATCCGACTTTTGTAAGATTGATGTATTATCTGATGCACGACATGTATCCACTAAACCAAAGTGCTTTGAATGTAAGTTATTTTATCTTTACAGTTAATCTAAAAAATTTAAAACTATCGAAAATATGATTTGAAAAACCCTGTTGTTATCCGATTAGAATTAAATTTTTCTTCTATGAGAAATTCTTTAAGTGAAATAGTATTCTAATCTATTTTAAGTACAATATCCCTAATTCCTACAATTGATGAATTTAATCTTTAGACTAATTCTGTTGGCATATGGGACTTCGAACCCATTACTACATTCTTAGTGCCAGTTCATTACCAACTATGGCACTGGATACGTCTAAATGAAAGTATTATTTCAAGCAGTGAAAGTCGGTCAAGTTTCTTACCTACTACGAGACCAAGTGATTCACCTGTTTTACGATTGGCATGGATTCGATTCCATATATTAAATGTTGATCAATTGGAAATTATTAATACATCATCGAGTAAAACAATGACTTTTGGACATTTATCTAATGAAATAGCTGAATGTGTAGTCAAAGTAAGTTTGTTCCAAAAAATCGTTTTTAAACTTCTATAAGTACACTGTTCGTGATCTTATTGACTAAAACTTGCAATTACTTAGTAATAATCATTACCGATGTGTAAAAATGCTGTTATTACCACAACAGGTTATTTGTCTATTCCTTTCTAAATGCATTCAAAATCCTTAAAATAAGCCAAGATTTTAAGTCTATACATCGTATTCTTCCTAATCCTACCAGCTGTTTTGTTGTTTTAGTTTGCGTCATCATCTCAATCAGCTTCGGTGCAATATGATCTACATTCTAAGTTTTAAAATATGCTAGTAAAATACAATCATTTAAAGGCCCCTACATTTCGCTCTTGCTTAATCACATTCAGAAGCGTCAGTTGTGGAGCAGGTGATCCCAACGGCTTAACTCCAGCTACTTCCAGCCGTACTGCTACCTTGACACGGTGAACGGGCTTGCCTATCGTTATGACCCGATCCAGTTATATTGTCTGGAACACGTTCCTGAAAGTTCTACCATGCCAGCGAAGAAGATTCTAGAACTATGAGACTAAAATCAGTAATCAAGGTCTTAGGCCAAAGTCGTACTGCTGACTGCAGAGGCATGTGACAGCAGTAAGGTGTTTCCCTCGGACAACCAGCATCTGCAGCGATGCCGCCTTCTCACAAGGAAGAAAGGGGTTTTAAAAGTTCAACCTTAAAAATGTCACACCTCACCTTACCTTACAGATCTCTGTCTCCGGAGGTAAGGCCTATCAAACAAGAGCGGAGCTAATACTTTTAAAACTTCTCATATAAATGCTGTGCGTGACCGGTCTCGAGAGGTTGTCCCTTGGGCCTACGGTCACGCTTCCAGATCTCGAAGACCGATACTATTCTACCTTCCTTTTCAGGTTACTTAATAAACACCCTTCCACAGTGTGGGCAGCCGAGAAGTGACATCCGCCTTCATACCCGTAACAGCACGCGAGACTTCCGACCGTAGCTGCTACCTTGACGTGGTGGTCGGGCTTGCCTATCGTGATGACCCAACCGAGCTATACTGGCTGGAACATATGTTCCTGGAGGTCCTACCATGCCAGGCAGGTCGATTGGAGAACGATGAGACTAAAAGCAGCAACCCAAGGTCTGAGGGGTAAGTCGTACCGCTGACTGTAGAGAGGTGTGACAGCAGTAAGGTGTTTCCCTCGGACAACCAGCATCTGCAGCGATGCTGCCTTCTCACAAGGAAGGGTTAGAAATGGTCGACCTTAAAAATGTCATACCTCACCCTACCTAACGGATTTCCGTCTCATTGGGTTAGGGTGCCCACTAAGGGCCTTTAAGAACGGAGCTAATCCTCAAAAAACCTTTCATAAAAAGGCCGTGCGTGACCGGCCTCAAGCAGTTGTCCCTTGGACTCTGCGGTCACGCACCAACACTAATCCATCTTCCTTTTCAGGTCCCTCAAGAAACAACCATCCACGGTGTGGGCAGCCGGGAAGTGACAACCGCCCTCATACCCGTAACAGCACGCGAGACCAAATTGGTCAAAATCAAATCCTTCCTACACCCTCTAATGTCTCTCTTATCTCTACGACTAACTCTACTCACACTCCCTTTTCTCACTGCACCGCTAGTGCAGACGAAGCGAGATCACGAAACGTCGTCCCTGGTCTCTTGAAACCCCGTTCTAGACTACATGTTGGAGCTTTTAATGTACGGACATTGTGTCAAATAGGACAACAGGCATCATTAGCTAGGACTTTAGAAACTCGTGCCATCGATGTATGCTGCGTCTCGGAAACGCGCATACAGGATCCTAGTAAAGTCATTAACCTGATTCCACCTTGTCAAAACGAAGAAGCAGCCCGATTCACTCTCCGTGTATCCGGTAGCCCTGATGCTGCTTCCAGCGGTCTTGCTGGCGTAGGCATAGCGTTGAGTCCTAGGGCAGAATTATCTCTCCTAGACTGGATCCCAGTAGATAGTCGTTTGTGCGCTGTCCGACTAAACCGGACAGTAAGGACTCGTAAGGATAGGGACACTCGCCGTTGCCTCTTCGTCATATCTGCCTATGCCCCCACTGACTGCGGTGCAGACGAGGTTAAAGATGAGTTTTACACAAAGCTTTCGGACCTCCTCCAAACAGCTGGGCGCTCTGATATAGTAATAATGGCTGGTGACTTCAATGCACAAGTAGGTAGACTAGGTGAAAATGAATGACACCTAGGTGGATGTTATGGTGTCGCAACTGAGAGAACAGACAATGGCCACCATCTGTTGCAACTATGCTCAGATAACCGCCTATTCCTAGCGAACACTAACTTTAGGCATAAGGAAAAACATCTTTTGACCTGGCGACCTCCAAAGTCGTCTCAACGTTGGACGCAGCTAGATCATATCGCCATCAGCCACCGATGGAGGGGTTCGATAGAGGACTGTCGCTCGTTCTGGGTCACATATTCAGATCATGCCCTAGTGCGAGCTCGTATTTGTTTGAAGCTTACTGGACTTAGGAAAGACACCGTAAGGAAGCCTCTTAGGGTTTTACTTAATGATAATAAGGCGAAGAATATATTTCAGGAACAACTAGAAAGACAGTTAGGCGACCATTTAAGCGATTCCCATCCAGAGTCATATTGGAATGATATCAAAAAGGCTGTGGAAACAGCAGTGATATCTGCTAGTAAGGTTGACCATAAGGCTAGAATGAAGCCGTGGATCTCAGTAGCATCCACCGATCTGATGGATGCCCGAAAACTCATCCCACCTGGCTCTGAACATGATGAAGAACGAAGTCAACTTAGGCGCAGACTTATGAAAAGCCTACGTAACGATCGCGAACAGTGGTGGGTGGCGAAAGCAAAAGCGATGGAAAAGGCAGCGGCGGTAGGCCTAGCCTTAATAAAGAAACTGGTATTAAGAACCCGAATGTGAGTGAGACTATCTCGGAAAAGGATGGTCTTATTATCCATTAAGAAAATGACGGGACTATTATTTATTCTCAATCCAGGAGACTGGATCGATGGGCAGAACACTTTAGGGATCAGTTCAACTGGCCTCGAGCCACACTTCGGTTACCCACGATCTCCAGCCATCCTGAATGGCAAATCGCTTTAAGTCCTCCCAGTCTACATGAAGTTGAGAAAACTAAAGGGAAGTAGAGCAACAGGTCCTGATAGGCCTACCCCTGAGGTGTTTAAGGATGGTGGTCCAGTTTTAACAGTTAGACTGACCGAGATCCTAGGTAGAATCTGGGAACTTGATGTTATCCCATCTGACTGGTCTCAGTCGCTAATTGTCCCAATCTACAAGAAAGGACAAAAGTCCTGTTGTGACAATCACAGGGGAATAAGTCTAACTTATAAAGTTTCTAAATTGTTAGCCTCGATTAAACTTAGACGTCTAACTAGAGCTCGTGAAGAGCAGACTCGAGAAAACCAGGCTGGATTTCGACCTGAACGTGGTTGTATAGACCACATCTTCACACTACGACAGGTCCTGGAACACAGACACACATTTAGACGTCCGACAATAGTCGTGTTCCTGGACCTAAAAGCGGCATTTGACTCAGTGGATCGTGAGGTTCTGTGGCAGTGTCTGTCATTGAAAGGTGTACCAAAGAAGTACATTAGCCTTATACAAGCACTCTCTCTACTCGAACACCACTGGTCGAGTGAGAGCTTATGGCGAACTGTCACCGGAATTCTCTACATCAAGTGGTGTCCGTCAGGGATGTCCACTCTCTCCATTCTTGTTTAATTTTATCATAGTCATGCTCTTAGAAATAACCTTATCTTCGTCTGAATTTGCAGTACACCTTCTACCAGGTGGCTCGCTTAATGACTTAGAATATGCCGATGACATTGTCCTACTAGGTGAAGACGCTGACAAAATGCAGAGTCTTCTGACCACCCTAAGCAACAGTGCAAGCATGTTCGGGGTGCGGATTTCCTCGTAGAAATACAAAATGTTGCTTCAAGATTGGGTTGCATCGGCACATAAACTAGTGATAGGCAGTGAAGTAGTTGAATGTGTAGACCGCTGGTGACTGACGAAATCTCAGCTCGGATACAGGAGGCTCGATTAGCTTTCGTCAACCTGTGTCACTTATGGCGTAGGCGAGATATTCGTTCGCTGACTAAACGACAGTGTACTGTGCAGTGGTTCGCTCCGTCTTACTTTATGGCTGTGAAAAATGGACAATCAGAGTAGAAGATATTCGTAGAGTGAAAATTAAGCTCGTCAGAGTTTTCTGGTGTTGACCTTCTGCCTGGAAATTCGCTTACTGATCTAGAATATGCCGATGACATAGTTCTATTCGGGGAAGACTCTGACAAAATGCAGTCTTCTGACTACCCTAAGCAACAATGCCAGCACGTTCGGGATGCGGTTCTCACCCTCGAAATGCAAAATGTTGCTTCAAGATTGGGTTACATCGGTACCCGAACTAGTGGTAGGGAGTGAAGTAGTCGAACGTGTAGACCGCTTCACTTATCTCGGGAGTCTCATCAGTACTGATGGTCTGGTGTCTGAGGAAATTTCAGCACGGATAGAGAAAGCTCGATTGGCTTTTGCCAACCTGCGTCATTAATGGCGAAGGCGAGATATCGTCCGCTAACCAAAGGACGGGTGTACTGTTCAGTGGTTTACTCCGTTCTCCTATATGGCTGTGAAACATGGTCAGTGAGATTGGAAGATGTTCGTAGGTTACTAGTATTCGATCATAGATGTCTTAGAAGCATCGTCCGTATATCGTGGGACAACCGAGTAAGCAACGCTGTCGTTAGGAAACTAGTACTTGGTATGGATGGCAGATCAATAGATGAAGCAGTGAAACTTTATCACTTGAAGTGGTTGGGTCATGTGTTACGTATGGCTAACTGCCGACTGCCGCGACGAGCTATGTTTTGCAGTGTAGGAGTAGATTGGAAGAAAGCTAGGGGCGGCCAAATCAAAAGATGGCACAAATACATGAAGTCACTGACTAGTGGACTGAGTCATGTTCGTAGATGTAGACTACCTGGTTGGGGTCCGCGAGACGATAGTCACCGATGGTTAGAGACCTTGAACGACATGGCCCAAATTGTTTGCAATGGCGCATGTGCATCCATTCTTTGTGTTCTCTCAAATCCTAATCTGGATTCGTCAACATCTCTACCTTTGTCTTTCTAACCTTATTTCACTTAATTATACTTGAATAATTTCTTCCAACCCTAGCCTTCTTCGTTACCATTAATAATTCAACGAAGGTTTTCATTTGTAGCCATTATTTCCACTTCGCTTACTTTTCATCCTGCAAGATGAGATGCGCTGTAGTGGCGTCTTCATAAAAAGCATGCAAATAACTTCAGATTGATTAAGCTCGAAAATGCTAGATGTATTTTTATTAGATTTTGAGAATAATGGTCAACTGCACACTTATTTAGCCTTACGAGAGACGGAATTTCGCCCCCAAATTCAATATAGGTTGTATGAAATTTGATTGATTCTTCCATTAATTATTGTCCGGGCTTATTTTAGCATATCGAAAATGTTTACCTAAACTCGTTCACATACTGATATGAACGAGAACCCAATCTGTAAGAAAATTGGGTGACCACTAATAAATTGGCCGATGGATTACTGAAAATAAAAAGAAGACTGATAGGATCTGTTGCCACAAATTAGTGACTCAGTGACGGTTAGTATATGGTATAAAAGAATACAATCACATGAATGATACGACCACTTGGTCTGGCGTAATGGTGAAAAGTATAAACATGTGTTAACCATGAAATGGACAATACCATTCAGTCAGTAGTTCGAATTTTTTCTGGTGAGTATTTTATTGCAAAGGTATGCTACTTATTATTATGGAAGTGATGTAGCGGTGAGTAACAGTAAGGTCTTACTCACGAGGAGTGACATAATTGGAAGGGATATCGAGATTTTAAAAATGTTGCTGAGTATCATTCAACTGATAAACAGGTAATATAGAAATCGAGACACATATTTGGCGTGGTAAAATGAAGAGTCATACGGTCATACGGTTTTATTATCTCCACATTTTTCGCTTGTTTCTGTCATTGGAATTATACATTGCACGTCAGTCTTATTTTAAACAACTACAAAAGTACACTCAAAATACTGGTTATATTTCATCCTGTTTTCAGGTGTATAATAGCGCTCCATCTGATCGCTAAAAGAGCTATTTGTGTAAATTACTTCTTTCCTCTCATAGTTGAAATACTAAATTATGTTACACATAGATGAAAGTTTAATAGTTATCAGTGACTTAAGTCAACATACTTTCAGTATCAATCATATGTTTTGTAAATATAATAATACGTAGTGTATCTGATTCTTCTGGTTATAATATTCAAAACCCATGCCATGGTTTATTGACGAACACATTGGTTTTGATTTAATGACTGTTTATTGTATAGGCTCTTCAACCCTACCTCGGTCATCTCCTTAACAAGAATCGTACACAGATTACCTTACGCATTCTGTTGCAACCACCAGATCACGTTGGTTATCGTATGGGTGCCTCATGTCAGGAGGTATATACACAACGCAATCAACTGCAAACATCAAATGATCTAGAAGATTCCAGTTGTGAGAATAGTGACGAAATGTATGCTGATGCATTAGACGATATATTATTGCCCGTTTTATCTTCATGGGCTAATTGCTTAAAAGTTGTCAATCCAATTAGAAAGACAGAACAACGTTCTACAGGTACTTCTAACTCTTGTTATTATCTTGATGAAATAATTCAGATGGAGTTTGATTTTTGTATTTTAAATTAAATTTATCTTAGCATGGAAAAGAATATTAGACATACATTTTTATTGAACATTAAAAAGCAGCCTGTTCCCAGCAATTTGAATCCCTAATTTTCATCGTTTGCCCCATTTCCTTGTTATTTTTTGTCTAGCTTATTCCTCGATCAGATATTCTTGACAGTTTACGTCGTTAGGAAAATGACAAACTGTATAATCATAGCACAATTACTATTCACCTGAATCTGTGTTCTTATTTTCCCTTTTATGTGTACATGATGATTCACTTGTTGTATCTGTAGTTCCTGTAGTATGTGATTATTAACTAATTTTGACAATAATTTCTGTGAAATGGAAGTTCATTAAGAAGTCTTTTCAGGCGGACTTGTTCGTTTCATAAAAGGATGAATCGCCTTGCTTTCTTCGAAGAAAATTTTCTCAATTGAGAAACAGCCTTTATTTTTACTGAAATAGATTCGTAGTCCAATATCAAGAACAAGAAATATTTGGTCATTAAACGTCGGACTTTACTTAGGTAACTACTAAATTTTTCAGTAAGATTAGTTGATTAGATTAGTGTGCAGGTCGTCCGACTTACGTCCATTCAAATATTTCATATATCTTATGTTTTTTGATTACGGCTAATCCATAAATCACATCTTGTCGTATTTGATGCTAGTCAGTTGGGTGGATCCTCATTCCAGTTCCCATGTTCAAACGTTAACACAGATCAACTTCATGTCACCTGAAATCCCAACATATTATTTGCTAAGCTTTTGGATCCAGATAGACATTAATTTGTTTAACGGCTATGACGTTTATTTGTTTATGATTGCTTCATAAGATGGGCTGATAGTTTCTATTAAATATGGATTGAAATTATTACTATATTTTACATCGGTATGACGCCACGGAACTGAGTTTAGTGTTTGTTTCGTAGTTGTAGATGATTTCTAGAAGAATCATGATACATGCCGAGTTCGTCAACCTAGTCAGAAGCATTACAGCTGTTGTTTAGGCCTAACAAGTTTACCCAGAGTCGGCATTTTCAGGAACTTATTGGGTTGCTAGTAGGGTCCTAGAACCAATCGTCTACATACTACATCAAGTCAGTAGCATCCACAATCAAACACAAAGCAGAGTGAGGAAGAATGAATGTAAACAAGATTTATGTATGCAGTAATTATGCAACCTGAACCTATCGACTACCTCAAACTTCCTGAAGCGGAAGCCCACAAGTGTTATCACTTCATAATAACGGGTGGACGACACAGAGACTGGTAACAAATCTAGATTTAGCTACTTTTAAAGTAACACAGGCAGACCTTAGGTTTCTCTTGCATAACAAATTATGCATTAATATCCCTCGTCACACTTCATCTTAACATGTTTAAAAAAACTAATTAACTAGAGCTGTAACAGTTTTCTGTTATTCGGATTCTAAAATACCATGGAAACGTAGAAGGTAAAATATTATTTAGTGTTTTCTTGGAAAATACACTATCGGGTGAGTAATCATTCCTTTTTTATGAGAATGCTTTGTATTTGCAATTTATCCATAATCAGATAAGTTCTAAACAGAGACGAAATTTCGTTCCAAATCACCATTGCAATCTGAATAAAATTCTTGGTCAATTCTCCAGACAAGAAGCATCCTCTAAACTCGTATTAGAAGTAACGAAGTACCGTTGTTCGTATAGAAATGCCTGGTTTTATGTAACTCCACGTTTTTGAATGCTGGGGTTCGAAACAGGGCTAACAGGTACTCCTTATTTGGAGACGTTTACAAGTATGTCGATCGACTGAGCCTTTGATGGCATATATGTAAAGTTTATTTCGTAGTCTTGCTTGTATGATCGTTTCTGAACTTTTAAGCTTACTAGACCATAGACACGCTGAAAGTGATCGCCTGATTCATTTATGTCAAAATAGGACCAAGGAAGAGCAGGCTTATATTTTTACATGCCTTTGGTATTTTCTGTCGAACTCCTCAGCGCTGAGTAGCTTGAGTTTACTACTATAGCACCACAAACGTACTATGATATTTATCCACTTCATTGTCTTAATCTTCGATATTTGTAAATATGTTACCTAGATACGGATATATGCTTAAACCCATCGCGAAGAAACTTTATGATTTTGAATCAACCCAACCCATTTTGTCGCCATCTTAGATTGTCCATGTATGCAATAATCAGCCAGTTAACTGAACTTCTGATTTATAATAGCGTTATTATACATTTATGGACGACCTAATCCACCAGGTCTCGCCTTACGAAATCTTGACCGCTTGAAATGAGAGTTCCTCATTACTTCCAAGCTTTGGCTTAGGACTTCGGAGTCGCGCCGAGAATAAATTGGTACCGCAATGTCTTTTATCCTCTCTTGAGTGTACTCTGTACGGAAATATTGTCGAATGGCAACTACTTTTTACCAACTAAAAAATATTCGCCATTTTATTGCAACCACTACAGTGATAACAAAGCTGGGGAATTACGATGAGTAAAGATGTATTTGAATATTAGTTCACTAACACAGTAAGTAAACTGTTTTTATCCAGAAGTCGCATTTCGACTTAATACATCAAACACACGTGCATTGAACAGGTGAACATTGAAACGAGGATCCTTACATTTATTGGAGTAGCGTGATTAGCCCAGAAACAACTTACAAAACAAGTGGAACTTAGTTCGTTTATCTATATATTGTTAATAAGTTTACACATTTGAAAAGGGTGTTCGCGGTTGTTTCAAAAGTTTTCTTATCTATGTATAATCGCTCGAGTCCAATTCTCAGTGAATTTAGTGCTAGCTGGAGTCTTAATGAAGTTTCTGAAGATAACCCTTACCAATCATTAGTACCTCTGCGATAGACACAGGACCTCTTAATGTGTTTTCACTAAACAAACGTAATAAGAGCTGAAATATGCTTCTTCACATTTCTGTCCTTCACTAAACTCAATAATTATTCCGCATTCATAATGTGATAAAATTTACTATCACAGAATGTGGTAATCCCTGTTTTGTTGGTGTTGCTATGCACAACTGGCAGTTACAATGAGTAGTTAAACACACTGACTTGTCTAATCAGTGTCGTTTAAATACTAAATGAAAGGCTTCTTGTCTTTCAACTTATTCTCGCACACCAAAGAAGATAACAGTAAACAAGCGGAGGCGAAGTACGTAAGTTACAATTGAACTACAAAATTTCCTAAGATAAAAGTAGTTTTCATAGAAAATCTGTTGCGTTTCATACTCCGCTTGCATGAAATACGGTAACCGCCATAAAAATAACCTCGCACGGTGAATTACTAACTTAAAATCAAAAATTTTTTCAAGTAAGGGTACTGTGGCTGTAGTTTTAGATTTAATAGGGTACCATTAGTGAACTCAATCAGTTTTATGAAGTAAATTATCAGTGCTTATTTGACCCTACTAAATAATAGTTATCCTTTTGTGAATATTTCGGAGAATGGTACTCCATCTATAAGAAATCCCCAAAATATCATAAATGGAACAAACCTTGAAGCATATCGTGGGATAAAACTCTCCTAAAGGTTCTGATTGTGTGGTGATTAGTCGTTTCGAAAAAAATCAATTTTATCATCAACGTCCATAAAGAGTAGTAACTAGTTAATGATGTTCACACCTAAAGTTCGACGGGATATATGCACAAACTAAGTCATCTTTTCCTACTTGGCTCTGTTTGAATCTTGATCAGAAGTGGTGAACTACACTAATATTTAGTCATTTAAAGATATCAGTATGCCAGAGTAGTTTTGCAATCTTGAATACTTAGAAAGGATTTGTTTCTGATAAAATGTACGAAGATATGTTCATACACAAACATGCTCGCTTTCATTATATTATCCCAATCAGAAATTTCCCAAAGTACTTATGAAAAGCTTCATTATCGTCGATTGTCACAAACTCATCAGTACATGACCATATGAAACTGAGAGACCTACTAATCCTCGGTAACGCTGTGCTGCCATTCCCGAGAACATAGGATTTTGATCCCATGTAAGATCTCGGATGCATACTTTCGGTGAGTTCCGGGTTAGAAAAAAATATTTGTCTTTTCCAGTTTTTTAATGCAGATTTCATTTTACGATTAAAAAATACTTTTAAACTGCAAAAACGAAGGATAACTGAGAAATTAATGAAAGAATGTATATACAAATGTACAAACTATTATCCGAATATAGATCACAGT